TAATTAATATCCACAATTATTTACCCTAAAACTAATCAGGTCTCTGCATAGTCCTGGAGGATCTATGTAGCAAGTCTCATTGAAATATGATGATCAGTACTCGAGTTATCAGGTGAAAAGCTGAAAATTAACTAATTATGCTAATAAGGTGATTAATATGCACAAATATTTACCCCAAAATTAATCAGGTCTCTGCACAGTTCTTAAGTAACTATGTACCAAGTTTCATTGAAATGTGATGATTACTACTTGAAATATCAAAAGCTGAAAATTAATTACCCTAAAAACTATCAGGTCTGTGCAGTGTCATATGACATCTATGTACGAAGTTTTATTGAAATGTGATGATTAGTACTTGAGATATCAGTGGAAAAGCCAAAAATTGATTAATCATTATGCAAATTAGGTAATTAATATTGCAGATTTTTACCCAAAACTAATCAAATCTGCGCATTAGTTCAGAGCATCTATGTGCCAAGTTTCATCAAAATCCAATGAGTGGTTCAACAATCATGGAACAGCTAAAAATCAGCTAATTATCATGCAAATTAGGTAATTAATATGCATAGATTTTACCAAAACCTAATCAAATTTGCGCATTGACCCAGAGCATCTATGCACCAAGTTTCATCAAAAATCAATGTATGGTTATTGAGATATCAGTGGAACAGACAGACACACAGACAGACACACTAACTGCAAAGACTACCTTTTTGTGCTTCGCATACGGGAGTCAAAAAGTGAACACTTCAATGTAGACAGAATTAAGAAACAAAAAAATGCTGGAGATAACAATGCCAATACTACCACTGTATGCAGTGAGAAAATCAAAGCATGATGTTAATACACCTCCAGTACATGAAATCGATACATTACCTCTTAAAATAGTGATAAAACAAGTCATTGTTAATGACACAGTCCCCATTCAAAATTTTGTGAATTGACATACCAATTTGATGCTGATGAAGAAATTGAGATTAGATTGAAACCATTAATAGGAGATGGATTTGTAAAAAATTATGATTTAGTGCTTTCACACGAGAATTGGACATTGGGCAGTCATATTGAATCAAATTACAAAAATAATGTTCATGTTGATGCATCTATTGGTATACTGTCTTTGTACAAAATTTAAAAAAAAAATGTTCATTGCATTCATGGGAAAGTAGGCATGTGTATCATAAAAGACAAAATGACCACCAGTCAGCCATATTTGTCCCAATCTTGAAAAAAATATGACGTGCTCCTATATTACCATACCAACTTTGATCCAAATCAGCCCAGTCATCTCTGAGAAACTGCTGCGGACATGTTTAGGTATCAGAAATAGCAAATTTTACATCCAAAATGGCCGCCAGTCGGCCATTTTTTTTCTCCGATGTTAAAGTAACTTGATGCGCATATGTGAGACATTATGTATTGTCTTCATGTAAAATTTGAATGAAATCCGTCAATGGGTGTCCGAGATATAGCTCCGGACGTACGTACGGATGGACGAAACAAACCCAAATTAATAGTCTCCGTTTTTGGACTTCGTCCGCACAGGAACTAAAAATTATATGCAAATTGAGTAATTATTATGCACATATTTTTACACAAAACTAATCAGATCGGAGGATCTATGATCTATGTTCATTGAAATGCAAGTCCTTTAGATATCAGTGGAACAGACAGAGGAAAGAACATACCACTTCCCACTTGCTCCCAGATAACTCAAGCTTTGGTGGTTTCTTGGCAGCTGGTTTCTTAGCAACAGGTGGAGGCACCTTTTCCCGTGATGGTGGCTGTACTGATGAATGGGTTGGTGCCTTATAGGGTGTTGGACCCTTGAAGTAACCTTTTTGCTGTTTCTTCAATGCTGGATTCTTGTGGGTTTGCATGTCTGGTGTCACTTTTTTTAGGCCTGCAATATAATAAATTGTAATAAATTATCATATGGTGATTCTGTTATCAGCAATTACAGTATCATCATTTTTGAGTACGTGAAATTTTGTGGTTTAAACATTTGAATATTAGATTTTAAGAAGAGCTTGATCAATTTGACCAATAAAAATTGTCTAATTCAAACCAAGGGTCGACCATGATACTGGTTCATACCAGTATGAAAATCAGTATTATCAACTTCACTCATTCCAACCTATAACCCCTATCTATATACATCTCATCATACCAAGTATGAATGAAATTGACCCAGTCATTGCCAAAGTTGCAGACATGTTCAATATTTTTATGACCAAAATTAACATTCTATGAAGATTGTGTAAAAATACAACACATATTACACAATGAATTTGAAATTTTTGAATAATTTTACACTTTTTATCAACATACTAAAATCGTAAACTTACCAGAGGTTATATCAGAGCCTTTGTTGAGATCACTAAATAAAGCAGATCGAATCTTAGAGTCATCAGCGGCATCAGCAGCTCCTCCACTACTAGTAGCAAAGTCAGCTGGGGGCGGAGGAGGTGGTGGTGGGGGTCCTGCACCAACTGAGGTAGTAGAAGCAGCGACAGGTCCTGTAGCATCCTCACCCTGTATCAAATAAATACAAGTTACTTTCAATGATATAATCAGTGTACAAAATTTATCATTACATTAATAATAATCTTTATTGAATCGTATCCTTGTTTTCCATTATTATTATTATTATTAACTAATCACATCTGTGGATACCCCAAGAGCATCTATGAACCAAATTTCAATGAAATGTGATGATTATGCAATTAGTAAGCTCAAATTTCAATTCAAAACTAATGTATTGTTCTCAGGTACTTTTATACCAAGTCTGAAATGCTATAATTGTTTGTTTTTTTTAAAAAGGGAATTATTATGCAAATAATCATGGATTATGGATTAATCATGGAACCTTGGAACAAAACACATATATACTAAGTGTCATTAAAATGTGATGATCAACTCTTATGTATATTAGGTAATCATTATGGATGTATATAAACCCAAAACTAATAATTGATTAGAACTTGAGATATATCGATGGGAAAGCCAAAAAAATATGAATTATTTTGCTAATTAGGTGATTTAGTACACAGATTTAAACCAAAACTAAACTGGTCTGTCCATTTTTTAAGAGCATCCATCTGGCTGAAATGTGATGATTAGTACTTGAGATATCAGTAGAAAAGCTGAAAATTAATAATCATTATGCAAATTAGGTTATTAATATGTATGAGGTTTTACCCAAAACTAATCAGGTCTGTGTATTGTCTCAGAGCATCTATGTACCAATCCAATACGTAGTTCTTTAGATATCAGTAGAATAGTCATGGAACTATTAAAAATTAGCTAATATCATGCAAATTATGATACACACACACACACAATTCATACATAGAGTCAACTGACAATTTTATTTAATTATTCCTCTTAGTTTAAAAGAGTTAAGTATATTTCGATAGAGCTACTATTATTCTCTCATCTTCATTGGACATGAAGGCTATCATATTTTCTCTGTTGGATGTTATATTTTCTAAATTGTTCTGTTTCACTTATGAGGAATTTTCTCTCTCACATGTATAGTTTACATTTCAGCAGAAAATGTCTTTCATTTTTGATTTCAGCTTCATTTTAGATTTGACATTTTAATCTTAATTTTGTCAGTGATGAACTATGATATAGATTTTTGATTATGTTTAGGTATTTTTCAAATTTGAAATTGTTTTTCAGCAGTCTATATTGTACAGAATTTATCTTTATGGTTAATACCCTAATTATCATTATTTGTTGGTGTTTATTTTCAGTATTTTTCCTCTTCCATGCTAATATATTACAACACAGTTTTATTTTAGAGACCCAGTTTTAGGTACTGAACATCCAAAGTTATTCAGAGAAAGTCTAAGCTTGCAGGCATCATGGGTTAATATGTTTTCAGGCATTGAATCAGAAATGTTTCATGCGCAATGTTCATTCAAAATTCAATGAAATTAACACAGATATGGTTCATGATATCCATACATAGATGACATATCAAAGAGCGCCCTCACACAAACAAGTGTAATCTATTTGCACATGTAAGTAAGACTGCCCTCTATGGATTGCATTCTTGATAAAGTCTTTGATATGACTACAGGGATGTCTACAGGGAGATGGGCAGACAAAAGAGTGTTTGGTGTGAAGGGCTATCTACAGAAAAGAGGGTGTCTAGGGAAGTAGATGAGGGGGTAGATGAGCTATCAACAGTGAGAAGTAGTGTCTATAGATATTTTATTTGACTCAATTATGTATGCAATATAGTCTATGTTAAACATACTATGATATAAAAATATATGGAGTACAATGAAAATATTCAGAGTTTATTTCACTTCTTAGAATAAAGGAAACAATTCATATTTAGATCTAGTTTTTAAATTTTCATTGTTATTTTCAGCACACTGACATGTTAACAAATACATGAACTTCATTGCAAACTGCAAATTTCAAGTTGTACTTTTTACCTGGCTAGTTCATACTGTTTACATTGAAGACTGTTAAAGAAGGTATAAACCAGGATGTGACAGTGACAGGAACTCAATTGACAGTATTATTTATCTTGCAATCAGCTGTGGCTACCAGTATTTACAGTTCAGTATCTCAAGTTACCAGTGCACAGTGGCCAGCCACCATCTCATGTTACCAGAGTGCACAGTGGCCAGCAAGATAACCTCAATATATGCATGGCCTTCAAATATACTACTGATGCCCTTAAAGAATTTATATAAAAACACACAGAGCTCATCATCATAATATATGCCCTATACTTAAGGGGATCCTGTACAAATGTTGCTATGCTGCATTTCTCATCACCTACTAAGGTTACAGAGATGAAATTTAATTTGTTTGGTGGGTAGTAACAGTTGTGCTGGACACTACTATGTACACATGACACACATATATACTTTTAGCCATAATAAAGAATATTCATTTGTTCATTCATTCATTCACAAACTATGAACATAAATTTTGAACACAAGTGGACCATTCCGATTTAATACCTGTATTTCATTCATGAAGACAAAATTTTGCAAACATTACTAGCACTCCATGATTTTCACTGACTTGTGAAGTTTATGTGAAGTTTAACAAATTATATTTCTTTAATGGGATAGCGGTAGATTTATCAAACTCCAATACATACACACATCTTACCTAGCAATTCATTCACACACGAGTTATGAACAAGTTAGTAAGATTAGAGTGCCCTCTAAGGGAGGTATTTAGAAATTTCTTCCTCATATAGGCACAGAGATAAAACAAGTTGATAATACTAAAACCAAAAACAGTTGAAAATAACATTTTTTACCCAAAATGACAGAAGTATTCATGAGAGTTACATAACTGACTGAGGTCCAACAAAACAAAACTATCTGACAAACCATTTTCAAGAATAGTCAAAAAAAGCATTTCCCATTTTGACAATTTAAGTTACTGTCATTTTTATTTTTAAAACATATCATTATCAATGACATAGTCCCTTATGTCAATTATAAACATTGAATATAATAGTAGAATATTAGTAGAATATAATTAAATGATGGGGGTATTAAGCATGTTAATAATATCGTGTTATTTCAAATTTCACCTTAGCTCGGTATGTAGGTTTTGTTTGCGTAAAGTGACACCCTTTCTAATAATAAAATTATTCTCATACCGTACAAAATTGTATAATCCACTGATAAGCCACTTGGACATATGGAAGCAAAACAAAACATCCTGTGTGTTGCTCATACCAAAATCAGTTGGTCTCCAGAAAATAAAGCTAACATGCTTGTCAGTCAACCTGTTTAAATCAAGTCACAAAACAAACTTGTGTGCATCAGTTACCCATTATCAAGTTTGAAAATATTGGAAAACATGAGCTACAGTTTAAGACATTTTGTGGGGTGATTTGTGACAAAAAAAGACATCAGTGAAAAGTCATCAAAGCAAGCAGTCTGACAGCTGATAGAGCTCCACTGGTAGTGAGTGATGTACATTTCACAAATAATCTACACCACAGTACAAGAAAGAAGTGCTGTGTGCCGAGTGAATTGAAGGCATGGATTTGATGTTGGCGATATTTATAATATATATTAATAATAGCATAGTGAACAAGAATTCTGTTAGGTGAACATAAATCTAAAATTTTTGAGACACAAAGTGGAAGCCATCTTACCAAGAGCAATAAAGTTGATAGAATTGCAGTTTTCAAAAAGAAGGTGAACATTTTTTCACCAAAAATAGTCACTGAAATTAGAATTAAACTTATTGTACAGAACCACCTAATGTATATTTGTAGGTAATTATGATTCCTATATAGTTCAAAGGTTAAGAATACAAGAAAATAACACCAGCATAGCTGTCAGTCCCAGCCCCCTCTCCTTTACAACAGTGTCATTATCAAGACATGTATCAAAACTCCACTTTGTGTGATATCAGTATAAAGTATGAATGACATATCACAAAACATAATATGTATACATGTGATTAAGTCCAATGTAATAGAGCTAGTTTTAATGAATTCCATTTACACACATAACAAGATACAACATTAATTTACTCAATTCTTAGCACTAAAATTACAACCAGTCAGATGGCAAAGCCACACATTAAAATGATAACCAGTCAGATGGCAAAGCCACACACTAAAATGACAACCAGTCAGATGGCAAAGCCACACATTAAAATGACAACCAGTCAGATGGCAAAACCACACACTAAAATGGCAACCAGTCAGAAGGCAAAGCCACACTGAAATGGCAACCAGTCAGATAACAAAGCCACACATTAAAATGACAACCAGTCAGATGGCAAGGCCCGACACTAAAATGACAACCAGTCAGATGGCAAAGCCAAACACTAAAATGACACCCAGTCAGATGGCAAAGCCACACACTAAAATGACACCCAGTCAGATGGCAAAGCCACACACTAAAATGACAACCAGTCAGATGGCAAAGCCACACACTAAAATGACAACCAGTCAGATGGCAAAGCCACACACTAAAATGACAACCAGTCAGATGGCAAAGCCACACACTAAAATGACACCAGTCAGATGGCAAAGCCACACACTAAAATGACAACCAGTCAGATGGCAAAGCCACACACTAAAATGACAACCAGTCAGATGGCAAAGCCACACACTAAAATGACAACCAGTCAGATGGCAAAACCACACACTAAAATGGCAACCAGTCAGATGGCAAAACCACACACTAAAATGGCAACCAGTCAGATGGCAAAGCCAAACACTAAAATGGCAACCAGTCAGATGGCAAAGCCAAACACTAAAATGACACCCAGTCAGATGGCAAAGCCACACACTAAAATGACAACCAGTCAGATGGCAAAACCACACACTAAAATGGCAACCAGTCAGATGACAAAGCCACACACTAAAATGACAACCAGTCAGATGGCAAAGCCACACACTAAAATGGCAACCAGTCAGATGGCAAAACCACACACTAAAATGGCAACCAGTCAGATGGCAAAACCACACACTAAAATGGCAACCAGTCAGATGGCAAAGCCAAACACTAAAATGACACCCAGTC